CCCCCCCCACACACATCCAGGAGAGTCTGAGGATTCGTAGATTTGAAGACTGAGATCGATCTGTATCTTTAAGGTTCTGAGATTCTGAGGATCTTTACGGTCTGGCTGATTTCCCACAAAACGTAGGCAGAGCCTGAGCTGTCAACGGCACCTGTGTACAGGATGTCACTACAGTATGTCGTTTTGTTCCACAGAGTCTTTCTACTGGTTGAAATGTAACGGGGAGAGCTGGCAGATGAGCTTTATTAATAATTAATTATAATTGCTTACACTTATATAGCGTTTTTCTGGACACTCCACTCCCGTCCACCACCACCAGTGTGCAGCCCCACCTAGATGATGCACCAGTACACTCCCCAGACACCATCTCTCAGTGGAGAGGAGAGCAGAGTGATGAAGCCATTTCAGAGAGGGGGATTATTAGGAGGACGTGATTGTTAAAGGCCAATGGGAAGTTTGGCCAAGATTGCCAGGGTGACACCCCAACTATTTTTGAGAAATGCCCTGGTATTTTTCGTGACCACAGAGAGTCAGGACCTCGGTTTTACGTCTCACCCGAAAGAAGGCGCCTGTTTTACAGTATAGTGTCCCCCGTCACTATACTGGGGCATTAGGACCCACACAGACTGCAGGGTGAGTGCCCCCTGCTGGCCCCACAAACACCTCTTCCAGCAGCAACCTTGGTTTTTCCCAGGAGGTCTCCCCTCCAGGTACTGACCAGGCTCACACCTGCTGAGCTGCAGTGAGGTGCAGGGTGACAGGGCTGCTGACGAAGTAAGTAAAGGCTGTTGATGGGTAAAGAGTAGAGAGCAGTTGTCCGTATTCACCCGAAACCGCTCGTGCTTGTGCTGCTATCCCCTCTTATTGCCGCCCCCCCCGTTTGTCGTGATGTACAGGTCTACGACATGATGCTGCGGGACGAGCGGTTCTACCCCTCCTTCAAGCAGCACCCCCTGTATGTGCGGATGCTGGCAGAGCTCGACATGCTGAAAGAGCCCAGCTTCAAAGGGTCCGAAGATGGAGATGGGGGTAAGCTGGCTTCCGGGTCCCGCTGAAGCAGCTGGAAATGGCTCCCTGTTATTCTGAATGAAACACTGCCCCCCCTAAAAGCGTTTGTTTTCAGACTGTGAATTATTATTGTTTAATTATCTATCTCTCTGCATCAAGCAAATCCTGTATCATTGTCCTAGGAGCGTGCAGCTGTGAAAACCAGGCCAGCCTCAGCTAGTTGAGGTCAGGGTGCAATCGCATTCAAATGGTAGTAAAGGTATGTTGTTTGTTAGGCTTAAAACGGGTCCGGACTAGAACGTCAGGACTAGAAATTCAATCTCCGGCGTGCTCAACGTGCAAATGTCACCTATCGTAAAAGAAAAAGGTGAAGAAGAAGAGCCGTGTAGTTCCGTGGCATGAGAAGCTGGAAGATTACTGTGCGTGCTCAGAAGATCGTAAGAAGAGCCTGAGAAAGGTTATGAACGAGAGGAGGTCATTCGGCCTTTGGTCGTTAATTCGTTAATTGATCCCAGTCAGAGTTAGGTCTGTATCATCATCTGGCTTGGGTCAGCCGAAGACTGGAAGTAGTTTTTTACTGGCCTGTGATACGTGCATGTCAAGTTATTTGGCTTCTCCTCATTCCCAAACTAACAGAATATCTCAGACTTGTGAAGGTTTGTTTTTTCTCAAGTGTCTCAGTAGACATGGGCTCTGAGCCACTGATACGGAGCTAAACCGAAGGGGCTTCCCAGACAACTGAAAGCCAGCTCCAATAGGTCCCGTTTTCTCTGTTCTGATCTCCCAGTGGTCGCTGTTGTTCCGACTTCGAAATTCAAGAAACTTCGGCTCAGAAAACATAACTTGACAGTGTATGCCCTGATGAAAAGGTGGTCCCCAATAACTAGAGAAATCTGCCCTTGAATTCAAAACTGAGTCCAGAGCTTCCGACTCAGGGGGAGTATAATGGAAGGTTACAGAAAAGAGGAGGCCTAGCTATTGTATAAGACGTGTCTGGAAATGTGATTTAAAAAATGTTGACAGTCGCAGAGTCTCCAGCAGAATACATGTGCTACATGCAAAAGGTGTGATCACGCGCTGTGTAAAACAGGGGTGTCGAATGTACGGCTCGTGGGCCACTGGGTCAGGACCATCGGCCAAGATCCATTCGCTGACGCGGGGGCGCTTTGTGATGTATCAACCAGTCTTGCATGCGCGACACTCTATGGTTCTCTGCCTCTGTCCAATCGCAGTGCCCCTCTTCGATGATGTCACAGATCTTGTTGGACAGAGGCGGGGCTTTGCACAGAAAGTGCAAGAACTGTGCAGTCAGCACCGGGTGCTTATCAGAATCTCGTAAAGGAGATTTTTTAACACAGTTACAAGGGCCTTGTAATGATGTTATGTAGGAAAATAAAAATAACGTTCTGTGATTCAATTTGCATTTCTCTGTAGAAGTAAAAGAAAAGCAGACATGCTTGATTTGCACTTTTCAAAGAACAATAATAGTTGTACAAGTGAATATTTTGTGGTTTTTATCTCCCTAATATCTATTTATATACTGTATGCAGTTGAATAGATCTAAAGTTTAGTGTGACGACTCCTGTAAAATAAAAATGTTTACAGGTAATACAGTTTTAATCAATAAATAAACCAGAAATAGGATGTTACAGTAGTTGCTATGTTCTGTTGGGTACTAGCCAGGTGTTTTAATACAGGCGTGACAGCTGTAGATTTTAAGGCAATATGAACAAGAGCAGATTCTTGTTAAATAAATCATAGAAAAAAAGAGCAGAAAAAGAAATACTCCATACACTTCTCATATAACAGTGTTTTAGTGCCCTCTTATGGCTAAAATACGCCTTAGCCTTAATTCCTTCTGGATTTTACAGAAACGCGTTAAAATCTGTTAATAAAGCATTATCCCTTCCAGATTTACAAAAAAAAACTTTCTTTCTGAAAGAAACGTTGTATAGGCCTATATTATCTTTTTGTCATTTTCTTCTCATTTGAAACGGCTGACCTTTGTTGAGATGTTTTTGAGCTTATAATATCAATTGTCCTGTACAACGGACTCTTACACTACGGTGTATTTTCTTCTGAATATTTCATTAAAAATTGTAATTTTTAATATTCCGTTTTCTGTCAGAATACCGGTATCCAATACCCATGAAGGCTATTTGATACTGATGGATTATTCTTAATAGTAAATTGTAATGAAGGTAACGCTGTGATAAGTAGGGAAACTTTTATCAAGAATACATTTTTCCACCATAGAGGTAAATTTTTTAAAGAACAAAATTCAAATATAACAACTTCTCACTATCTTTAAAACTTCTGAGGAATGTTCAGTGCTATTTTAAAAATGATCCCCAAGGAGAGTGAATTTTAGATGCTTGTCTGCAAGACTCAGTGTGCAACATTTCCATCGTGATTTACTGCTGTGTTCTTTCAGTTTGCTATACTATTATCTCTTTTCTTTTTCTGTTCCACTTAATGTTTGCTAGACAGATTCATTTGAAAATATGACCTTAGACCTCAGATTAATTGCTCTCCAGTGTATGAATAACCTATTCTGTATTAGCTGCAGGTGCAGCATACAATTTGTTGAGATGTTTTAGTTGGAGTCCTCACAGGGATAGTAGAAAGGGATATTGGTTGTTTGCCATGGGTTGATCATTTTTCTTTGTTTTGTCATGCAATTCTTTTTGTCTGAAGTATGACCTTATATGTTATTGTTTTTCATACAACCTTTGCTAAAGATACTTTTTTTTACCTTCATAGAATCATTTAATGGATCTCCAACAGGAAGTATAAATTTGGTATGTATGACTTTTTAAATTTGTCTGAAATAATGTCCATTATCTACATAATCCAGTCAACGTTTGCAGGGTTATAAAAAATTAGGTTAATGAAGATGGTCTCACATTTGTTTTGGTGTCTCCTAACAATACAATACAGGTGTGTTATGCTGTGTGTAGTGTTCAGATATAAAACATTTATTGTAAATTATACCTTGTGTGTTATAGCTGGAAACTGTGCAGTTATGTTTGTTTATGTGTAATTGGAATGTAGCATTTTTCTTCCAGCACAAGTGGTTTGATTTTTTAGATGCTAGAAGTGAAACTGTATGGATTACATTTTCGTTTTTGAGGTAACTGTTCATGTTTGTCTCGTTTTTAATGCTGGTTAGAGTCTACACTGCTTGTGCAGGTGTTAAAATGTTTGGCAGCTTGGTTTGTTCTGGCTCAACTCCATGTCTGCAGCAAAGCCTGCTTGAATAATAGAGCTCTTTTGTGTTGTCAAATAACATAAAACAGAGCAAACTATGAGTAGGCGAAAGGTCAAGTCTAGGGTCAACGGGTTGTTCTATTTGTGTATTTATGTGTTTATGTGTAGCAAGACGAAATTTAGGATCGAATTATAAAAAGGAGGGTAATGCTTTGAAGAGGAAAATATTGATAAATACAATATTAAATACAAAGCTTTTTATAAAGCAATTGAATTAAAGCTCCATTGAATTTGCCATAATGCTATCATCATTTATAATTACATTTGTTTGTAGAAAAAAATACTTTTTAGAGCAGTGCAGCTAAATGTCCTAAGAATGGGAGTGTTGTAACGCTTGCAATGTCAATTAACATAAAACAGAGCAAAGTTCAGGTCCAGGGTCAGTGGTTTATGTTTTTTCTGTTCTCAATTCACTCAATTTGATACGTTTACCTAGTTTTAGCTAAATTATTTTTTGGTATGCGATTCAGATTTTGTAGTTGAAATGTATTCTACGACGGATTTACAATAGACTGTGTGTGCCGTCTGTGTGTGAATGTACGGATTGCGTGTGTCTTGTTAGCATGTTTAATTCACCTTTCAAAATGGTCTCTCTCCCTCCTTTGGCGAAAGATGTGTGGATAGATGTGTGTGTGAAGTGGTTTATGATTTATAGTCTAGAAATGGACAAACCTTTTTTTTTATCAACAGAACAATATGTTTCTTGTTTTTTCAGTCTCTGGATGACCTCTCCAATGCAAGCTCAGATGAATCAATGCAATTTCATGCCTACATTTCTGACACTGGTATGTATCCCAGTAATGTCAGAATTGAGCCTTTAAAGTTTTGCTGTATTTTCTTGTTCAGGTTCAGATTTCAAGATTGTAATAAACATTATTACAATTATTATTACATGTTCTAATTAATTGTGGTAATGTTTGCATAAATTACGCATTCAGAGATAATAACTATCTTGTGAAGTACAGTAATCTCAGACTGTTTTCAAATATTTTGAGCATCACAGCCAGTGATAAAGTAGTGGAGATATTTCTTCACACCTGCCCAAACATTGCATTGTTTTGTGACTTGTTTTATGTGTTTGATAGCAAGATTTTATACCAGCCATTTGACCTTTTCATTTATGCCGATTATTAATTTTAAAAGTAATTGTTAAAAGTAATAGTTCATTCAAACTTTGTTTTAATTTGATATTCAGAGTATCAACAGCAACATTTAAACATTTTTTTTCCTCTGACAGGAAGATTAAATTAGGTTTGACATGAAGAGGACCTTATTGAGAAATATTTAAAACACACATTGGGTTCACGAAGTTTGGGTGTCTGGTGCCTGTAGTCCATACTAAAACTATAATATCATCAAATCTAAAACAGCACTGATATATGATGTCATAGTTCAGGTCTATGTTCATGTTTTTTCAGAAAAACCTTTGTGGCACATTTTGTTGGCTAAATGTCATCAGAATGGAAAAGCTCTGTGGAGTTCCTCCGTGTGGCACAGTGTGTGCACTTTTAGTCAGAGGTCTCCCACGTAAAGCTGACGTGCTCCCCTGTCCTGGGTGACTCCCATCCTGTCTTATTTTAAGCCCCCTTCACTGTTCCTGAATCATCGGCCACTTGGCCGATCTCCCCTGTGAGCTGTGTTGTCCTCCGGCTTCTTCTGCGTCTCCCCCCCGGTCCTCCGTCGTGTCCGTACCCCCTCCTGCCCCCTGGCGCTGGGCGCAGTTGCTCACCCTCTTTTCCGCCCCTATGCCCCGTGGCAGGCGTGTGCAACGACCACGGGAAGACGTACGCGCTGTACGCCATCGCCGTGTTTCGCAGGAATTCCGATGGGAGCGAGGACACCTGGAAAACCTACCGGCGGTACAGCGACTTCCATGACTTTCACATGCGCATTACAGAGCAGGTACGGGCAGAGCGCGCGCTCGCGAGGGCAAATGCTTCAGGGGGGGCTTCTGAGCCGAGTTGTTTGTCCTGCTCTGTCAGCCCCCCCCCCCGTCTTTAAGATGTGTCGTTCATAGGTTTCTTTTCCAGAGGTGCAGAGGAGTGTAGGGAAGTGTGTGTTTCGGTTTTGTCATAGATAATAAGATGCTGCTTTCAGTGCTTATTCAGATTGCTCAATCAGAAAAAGTCCAGAACGTTAGCTCTGAGTCCTTATTACCAATAGTAATCAGAAATAGGCTGCGGTGCATTATATGCAGTGTTAAAGCAGACAGTAACAATGTTTAGTGTGCATTGAAGTAAAAGCTGAACACGAACAACATTGAGAACATCTGTAAAATGACTATATGCTTTTAGTCACGGAATTTAACGGGAATAACATGACATTCAGTACGGTTTCAAATGCCATAATGGACAGTTAATTACCAATAATACTAATTACGTAGCAGCTGACATCCTCTTGGTGTGCAATACCCACCAATACTGGTGGTTCCCGGAGTGCTCTCCCGTTGCCGTGGCAATTTTAGCCATAGATACAAGATGATGACCTCCGATTGGCTAGAGGCGATGGGAACACACAGCGGTTCTCCAGTAGAGAAAGAGGACCAGCGAGTGAAGGTTACTTTCTGCTTTCGTTGACTTTTCCGCATTATTCATTCGTTCACGATCTGCTTACCTCTGGTGAGGGTCGATAAGGTAACGGGTTGAGCATGGCAGGCCAGACCGCCTTCTCCCCAGCGGCAGTCTCCAGTTCCTCCTGGGGGATACCCAGTCGTTCCCAAGACAGCCGAGAGAGAGAATCCCATGTGTCCGATATCTGCCGGGGGCCTCTCTTCCCAGTGGGACAGGCCCAGTACATCTCCAGAAGGCATTGCTTTGCAACAGATTTCAAGATAAAAAGAAAAATTGTTAGCTGCAATATTAGTCATGGAAAATGTGAAAAAATATTACTGTGCATTCTGCATCTGATTAGTCACCGGTGCTTTTGTAAAAACTTTTCTTATTTGGGGAACTCACATTTAAAAATTATCCTTACTTTTCCGAAATGTGTCCTTGTTTTGTGGGGTAATCTGTAGATTATAGTCATACGTAGAATTTCATCCATTCATAGAGGCAAATGAACATTACTGTATGTTTATTGCCTTGCCTCCAGTTTGAAAACCTTACCAGTATTTTAAAACTCCCGGGGAAAAAGACCTTCAACAACATGGACAGGGATTTCTTGGAGAAAAGGAAAAAAGACCTGAATGCCTACCTGCAGGTAATGATTTTGTGCGTCTCTATAAAAAAAGTTTGGTGGCCACCTCATGAGAGAGCTTGTTTCTAGTTTTTCTCATTCATTTTTTTTTTCTTTTCAACTAACAAAGTTAGGTGTTGGCAGGGCAATCATTTTAAGTCACATTTTTTAAAACGTACATTTTGCAGTTTCTAGCTTGCACACCTTTTTGTCTTTTGGATTTTCCTCTGTGCTCGTGCTTCTTCCTGGAATTGGAATTATTCGATGGAATTGGACCCCTGCAAAATCCTCATGTAGTGCTTCAGCCGCATCCTGGTGATGCTGTTTCAAGTCAGGAAGATCAGATCACTTTATTGGCCATATACAATTTATTGCATAAGGAATTTGTCTTTCGCATACCCCAGCTTGCTCTCCATGAGACACACAGACAGGAAGAGAAGCCCAAGCTTTTCTCCCTGTCTGTGTGTCTCATGGAGAACAAGTTCAGAGCGCAGGGTCAGCCATTTATACGGCACCCCTGGAACAGCTGGGGTAAAGGGCCTTGCTCTGCCTCTTTGCCTCTGCCGGCACTGGGATATAAACCGGCAACCTTCCAGCCACAGGCTCAGATCCTGAACCACAGAGCCACCGCACCGACTTATCAATAAAGCACTTTGGTGGGTTGCACACGTCTCTCTGGGTTTGCAAAACAAACACCGAGGCAGAGAGAGAAGGTCCAATAAAGAAGTGTTTCTCTCTCTGTTTCTTCTTTCGGGACCTGTCTGCACACTGGTGCACACTGGTTACCTGCCTGCCTTTCGTCCGCTGGGGGGTTTCCCTTGTGTTGTCGCAGTATCCTCTCCTATCCTCTCTGTAAAGGGCGGTTTACAGCTAAGGACCTTTTCTGGTTGTATTGGACCTTCTCTGTCTGCCTCGGTGTGTGTTTTCGTGGACTGAAATGCTTTCTTCTTTTAGCTGCTGTTGAATCCAGAGATGATGAAAGCCTGTCCTTCTCTTGCAATGTATGTGTCTGACTTTCTGGATAACAAAGCCTACAGTAAAGGAAAGGGAGACTTTGCACGCAAGGTAAGACTGCCACCTACTGCTCAGTTATTTTTATTGCAACAGCCCAAATAAGGCCTCTCTGTTTCCCTTTCATCCACACGGGTAGCCTCAGAGCCCTTCAAGAGGAACCTGACTGGTACCTTTGAAGCCCTTGGGTTGCTATGTCTGAACAAGGAATGGGTTACCAGCAGCCCTGCCACCTGTTACGGGTGTGAATCGTGCATGTGAGCCCCATTGACTACAGCCTGGAATATTCATTTTCATTGTTGCTGTTGTTTAATCGTGAGCAGCTCTATTTGAAAAGGGGGATCTTGGGATCTAATGAGGTGAGGGATATATTCCCTATGACAGTATCTCTGGGACGGCTTGCTATAGGGAAGACATCAGCTCATGCATCCCAGCAATTTTATCTGGGTGCGTTTCTCAGTAACAAAGCAGGGAAAATCATCTGTACATTTTATTCTGTGGTTCACTGATGTATTATGTAAATAGGAACGGTAAAAATCAGTATAGCACACAAGATATTCTAGGTGTGTTGACAGAAAAGACATTGTAGGAATCCCTGACTGTCATACAGGTTAATACAGTAGAACTATCTGATGCTCAAAAGAATTGGAGAGGGAAAGGTACTACTCTCTGTTCTTTGAATTAGTTCCAGGAATTACTCACTGAAATTTTGGCATTTGTGGTTAGAAAGCCACCTTCTCTTTAAAGGTTTAGGCCAATGTTCCTAATGGCAGCCCAGCACATTGTTGGTATTCTTGGGAGATTGGGAAATATTCGAGTGCAGTCTGTTAAGTCCGTAATTGCACAGATCATTCTTAACATGATTAAAGTTAGGTTTCATTAAATCCTCACCAACGTAATAATACTTTGAATATATTTCAAGACCTTGGCAGCCCAGAATTGCTGTAGATCTATTTCTTTGAGCAGCCAATATCTCACATTTGGCAAGCCATTCAACTTATTCATCTGTGCTTTGGTTTTATAAAGGTATAATATTTAATTGTATTAATTGTAGTGAATTAATACAGGGGTTATTATGGAATAACTGATGGTATGGGTGGCTGTGTTCTCCAGATGGACACTTTTGTGAACCCTCTGCGCAGTTCTATGAGAAATGTCTCCAATGCAGTCAAGGCCATCCCTGACAGTCTGGCAGAGGGAATGACAAAAATGTCCGACAACGTGGGAAAAATGTCCGAAAGGCTGGGGCAAGACATAAAACACTCCATTTTCAAGGTAGCTCCTTTTGAAACTCTTGCATGTATTGTAGCAATGCCAAAGCAGCTAAAAATGCAAAGTGCAGTTGTGAGTCTTTCTTTTTTTCTTTTCTTTTTCTTTTCTTTCTCTTAGGTTCCACCTTTGATACAGAAGTCGGATATTGACCCCGAGCACTGTCGGGTCTCTGCACAGCTGGATGACAATGCAAGTAGTGATTAATTTCTCATTTCTTCTCCGTTTCAGTAAGCGCTAGCGCCCTGGATTGTGCCGTATGCAACCCTTTTGTCAGGACTAACCTTGTGCATTGCTGGGCATTAGCGTTAGGAGTTCACATTTCTGACTTAAAAGGAGAATGGAACCTGACTGCAGATACCTGTAGCTCTCATTAAAGAGAGCAGCGCTTCAAGTGGAATCTGTGCTGGCATTTTCCCACTGTTTAGATTACATCACTGATCGTTTATGCGAATTTTAAGGAGAGGGTTGCTTTTATCTTAACAAGGAGCGAAGGCGTGTAAGATTGCTGCAGATTATATGCAGATTTGTCATCGTCATAAATTGCAGCTGTCCCGCACTTCACATTTTTATTTGTCACATCAAAGCATTCCTACTGTCTCTGTGTAGTTTATTGTTTAGCCAATCTGACAAATGTCTTTTCCCTTAAAAAAAAATCCTCCCTTTACTTTTTAACCTTATTTAGAGATTCTGTTTATCTGATATTTTCAACCCTGGGTTTTTTTTACACCCCCATACTTATTTTGGTGGTGACATACACAACTTCCTTGATATGAATCTGCTTTGGATCTTACAAGACAACGAAAATGAATGTCTTTTTCCTGGGCGATTAAAGGTGGATGACAACATTCCTCTCCGTGTCATGCTGCTCCTGATGGATGAGGTCTTTGATCTGAAAGAGAGAAACCAGTGGTTGCGGAGAAATATTAAGAACTTGCTCCAGCAACTAATTCGTGCAACCTACGGGGATACAATCAACAGGTGAAACTCATATCTCAAGCAGTGTGTAGTTTTTTCACACCATCCCTGTTCCGGTCCTCTTTCTCGTGGTGGGATGGTTTGTGTGTAAGTAAACAAATCTGCAGCTGTAGTTTTTTTTTATTTCACAATTGAATTTGTTTTTTTTGTTTTTTTTTTATTAAAATGCTGTTTTTGGTGTAATAAAGCAGGGAATGAGCTTATGCCTGCCGCAAGACTGAATCTGATTTTCCCGTAGAAAAATTGTCGACCATGTGGACTTCATGACCTCTCCGGAGCAAGTGGCGGACTACGTCAAGCGCTTCAGGTAACTCCAGCCCGGCCCTGCAGTCGCCTGTTTGTTTGGTTTTGCCAGGCCGCTTTCCTCAGTGTGTGTTGATCCTCCCTGCAGAGATGCCTTCTGGCCCAACGGTATTTTAGCGGAAACTCCCCCCCGCAGGGATAAGGCAATCCGGATGAGAACCAGAATAGCTGCCAAGACCTGTCTCCTAGGAATCATGCCAGGTGAGAAGCCCACTTCCGCTGCTCTAAAGACTGTGGCCAGTACCGCAACTCCTTACTCCAGGACGACTTCATTCATAAGATATTTTAACCTAAAACCTCAAAGTAGCCTTGTAATACTAGTCATTTTTTTTCAAAGCTGTGTTTGTTTCTTTTTTTCCCCCATAAAGGCTTGTGTGCTAGTAGTATAAAGCTTCATTTTAGGATCTTATTGTTCTGATCTGAGGACCATATTTTCCTTTTAGTTGTTGCGTTTGCTATCTTGCCTGGATTTATTTTTTGCTTTGATCCGTCTTGTCTTCTATTTTACAGACGAGATGAAGCACATCATTGGTGCCGAGACCACTAGGAAGGGCATACTGCGGGTCTTTGATATGTTCCAGCACAATCAGCTGAACAGGAGGCTGGTGTACGTTTTCCTGGAGGGATTCCTCGAGACCATGTTTCCGCAGTACAAGTTTCCCGAGCTCTTTATCAAGCTGCACTCCCGGTCGGAGCGGATGCAGAGGTACAGCCAGAAGTTGAAGACTACCCAGGTCCCCTCCTTGCAAAAAAGGTGACGAAGCAAAATCATCGCAAGGCTTGTGCCCTGCAGACACTGCAATGTCCGCATCCAGAGCAGGTGAACAGTTGGGACACGCTTTGGGAGAGTTCAGGAAACGAGTTCAGGAGATCGGCGGTGAAGGTACCCATGGACAGCGATGTGCTCAAGACGTGTCAGTTCACCCCAGCTTCATTCTTACACAAGCACTGTTCGGATAACGTCGTAGCATAGATAATTTATTTTATCGTTATGCAATATTCTGAAGCACCAGGTCTTCACCAATCGAAGAACTGTAAATCTGTAGGACACTTCAGAGCTACTGATATCAATTGTAAATGCTAATATTAGTGAAGATATCTCTGAAGGAGACAAATGATATCCCTGTGGAAAATTCCTCAGACACCCCACAGAGACAAGCTACAGAGCAGCTCAGGGGAAAGCACAAACACGTTTTATGTTGAAGATTAAGTGGAGGGAAAATAATTTAATTCATGTGTAATATCCAATAACTTAGAAACATGTAGGTGAACGTTCTGAGATAATGTGAACTGGAGAATGGTATATTTTAAACTAAATTGGGCTATTGGGCTGTTTGTGGCCCACATTTTGACAGGAAGAAATTTCAGTGGTACAGTACAGTATTTCCACTGCTTCAAAGTTGTCCATTTAATTAAATTAAATAAAGTAGATTCCTCTAAAGATCTGTCCTTTATTCCTTATCTGGTTGCTTTTCACAGGGATAACTCAAGATGTTTTTTTTTTAAAGGGATTGTAATTTGTACAAAGAATACTGTCATTACAAAGGCAGAGTTTGCTTTTAAGTGCATTGTATGTTTTGTCCTGTGTTTTAACTCTGTGCACACAAAACACAAGAATTAATAATAACCAAATAAAAACAGGGCAATGAAGAGAAACTGCTGGAATTTTAGACTTTTCCTCAGTGGCCCATTTGAGAAGGAGAGAGGAAGAGTTAGAGATAAGTACCTTTAAATGTTCCTTTGACATTGCTGATTTTTCACTGAGCATTAATATGACAACCAAAGCAAACTCACCTGCTACTGAGTATTTACGATCCTGTGGTAATGTAGGAAAAAAGCAGGCTTAGAAGCGCTTATCACAAAGCAAGCTGAATCACATCCTTTTCCAGAGATGACTGTGAAAGCATTTGAATGTTTGTAATGGACAAAGGAGAGGAAAGGATACTACAGTTTTTATAAGCATATTGAGATATGCCTTGTAGAATGTACTTATTTCTGATGTAAAATGTCCCTTTGTATCAGTTTTGAGCCCTGCTAAATCATTTCTGCACCTTCAGATGCACCACGAAAGGCACTATATAAACGTTATATTTAATATATTAGCCTTCGAGATGTGATTGTAGGATGTAAGATGTGTTCAGCGCTTAAACCAGGGAGTGCTCTTAGGTCAGATAACTGTGCCACTGTATAATTAAGATAGATTCAGCCTTAATCTTTTCAGTCAGAGCAGAAGAAATTAAACAGAGATGGCACCCCTGAGAAACCCCTACATTTTTTTTGAAAGTGTAAAAATTGTAATACCTGTTATTTGAAAAATATTCAGTTCTTGGCCTAGGTTCTTTATAGAATATGTAATTTTGTGCAATATGTTCCTTTAATGCATGTGTATTTAAATTGTATTTTGAGAATTTCAATGTTTTAAAATGAAAAACAAAAATGGTCTTCTGGAGCCAACGACTTACATTCCGTTGTCATAAACTTTTATTTAAGGACTTGTTTTATAAGTCTTGATATTTACTCCTTGTAACACTCACATATTAGCGATGGACTTTGTTCATCTGAGCATGGCTTATGTACAACAGGGGGAGTCTGAAGAGCACATGGCAAAATATTGACGCATTATCAAAATGTCAACATATACGAATCGATACATGAGAGAGTTGGAAAATGAGAGGAGGCCCTCTGGCCTGTTTAGCTCATTATTGTCAATTGTCATTATGTCTTGAAAAGTCCTGCATCAAGGGTGTTTCAGTTACTGTAGTTTACTGGACTAGGTGTAATTAATTAAATCAGGCAGTGGCCCCCTCTGCTAAGGTCATACATGCATTCACAGCCTAAGTCACTTCATGCACTCCGATTTAACGGCAGGCAGCCATAGGTCATCAAGTCCCCTATGATGCAGGATTTTTTTATCCTCTGTGTGTGTATATATATAAATCTATTATAATGAATTGTGCATATCATTGTACAGTATGTGTCAACAGTGTGCCTAATTGTACTGTCAATTCTATTTTCTTATTTTTCTTTAAAGAACAAAAGTCAATCAGAATGTCATGGTCATTTTTAATAGACGGAAAAGAACTCTAAAAATTTAGAGTGTTTCCATTATGCTAATAAAATGTTCATTAGAGCAGCTGAATACAATATTACACTAATAAAATGTTAACTCAAACTTATTGTGCTTTGTGGTGTGGATTTTCTGTAAGGCGTACATCAAGTGTTAATGTGTGTTTGTCATTTGTCACCCTTCAGCATAGATTTTTTATTCAATAGCAGTACTGAACAGTTATTTTTACGTTATACTCCTATTTAACAGCACATTATACAATTTCTGCATTTATGTGTATGTCATTCAGGGAGAAGATTTAAGCTTTTAGATAAACACCTCCTGATAATATTTTCCTTTCGGCTTCCAAGAAACATGTCTGTATTTGTGCCAAAATACTATTTTTCCAAACTCAAGAGTACTGACAGCGAAATGTATTGAATAGGAAATCAGTGGGGGCTGTAAGAGGGGTTTGATCTGCTTGTTGTCTAGACTGGGAACCAGGATCTGATTGTCTGATGAAAGATGTCCTATCTGGCAACTTATTTTCCCTGTGATTTACAGTTGTCTTAATAAATAGCACCTGGCTGCTGAATTTAAAGAACAAAAACAAAACAAAACTGTACATCACAAAAATGTTCTGAAAGTCAAATAATAGCGAGGGTGCCCGAGATACAGCTCGACACCTGCAGCGTTGAAAAAGCAAAATAAACCATAATTCTGCAGGGCTCTCCCCCGGCCT